CAGGAGAGCTTGCCCAGTCTCTGACTGTCTACAACCATGTGGTATCGGAGGTCTGGAAGTGGTCAGACCCGTGGAAGAGACCAGAAATGTTCCCACTGTCCAGAGTTGTTGCATTGCTTGCTGAGAAGAGGGGCCTAGCTCTGGCACAAGTATTCTGCCGTTCTCTGTGTCTACAAGCTGTGGACATTGGTATAAGAAATGAGATGGGCCATGCAACTCAATGGCAGCCCTTTGTTGGGTCTGGTCAAGCATTAGTCACTCTCATTCAGGAAGACTGGTTTCAAGTATCCACTCTTTTGCAGACATTTGTATGTTCTGACCCAAGCATGTGGCATCCCTGTCTAAACAGGCCTACGTACAATGTTCATGGCTCAGACATGGATGTGTCTGCATCCTATTCTTATCACCTGTGGCCATCAGTTTGCACTCACATTTATAGTGCTTTATATGAAGGATTGAGACAGTCAGAGTTGCTGCCAGCCTTGTCAGCATGTGGACAGGCTGTATCTCTGCAGGTGATCAATACTCTGCATGATGTATTGGCATCAGGTAAGTACTCAGCCCTCTGCCTATCATTAGTTGGCGTGAATACCACCTGTTAAAGTAAGACTCAGATGGTGTTAGTGCCGGGGGAAGGGCGGTGTCGGGGCAGGTTGACAGGGGAAGGGGGTGATGTTGGGGTGGGTTTACAGGGGAAGGGCAGTGTTGCAGAGGCGGGTTTCTGAGGAAGAAGGCGGTGTTAGGCGAGTTCTGAGAGGAAGAAGCGGTGTTGGGGCGGAGGTTTACAGGGAAGAAGCGTATTGAAGGCGTGTGTGCTGAAGGCGGTGTTAGTGCTGTGTGTGCAGGCGGAGGAGGTAGTGTTGAGTGCGGGGTGCAGGCGGGCGTTGGTGGGGCATGGTGCCGGACGAAGGGTGGTTTTGGTGCGGGGAGCCGGATGAGGCCTTGGGGGAGGGGCGGGGTTGGTGCCGGGGGAGGGGCGGGGGGAGGGGTGGGGTGCCGGGGGAAGGGCAGTGTTGGGGCGGGGTGCCGGAGGAGGGGCGGTGTTGGGGCGGGGTGCCGGGGGGAAGGGCGGGGTGCCTGGGGAAGGAGTGGTGTTGGGGCGGGGGAGGATGGTATTGCCGTGCGATGGGCTGTGTGAAGTCACTATTTGTATGCCGAGCTGACGTGATGTGTACTCTCTGTATACTAATTGATTTTTTTATTTTTGTTTGTGCTTCAGCCGCAGTACCGGAGCAGTGCCGACCAGATTACCAAAGGCTATTCGCTTGTCTCCTCTCTACCTGCGTGTTTATCACCTGGGATCAAAGTAAAAAAAAATATCAGGGAGAATGCTTGGTTTAGGGAGAGCACACTTGGTTAATATGGAGAGAGAATGTGCTTTGTTTATAAAGGGTGAATGATTGGTTTATAGAGCAAGAGGGCGCTTGGTTTATAGAGCAAGAGGGCGCTTGGTTTATAGAGCAAGAGGGCGCTTGGTTTATAGAACAAGAGGGCACTTGGTTTACAGAGAGAGAATGCGCTTGGTTTGCAGAGAGAGAATGCGCTTGGTTTGCAGAGAGAGAATGCGCTTGGTTTGCAGAGAGAGAATGCGCTTGGTTTACAGAGCGAGAAAGCATGCATGGTTTATTGAGAACACAAGCTTATTTTATTTTTTAAAGCGAGCACGCGCCTGTTAGGGGTATAGAGAAAGTGCTTGCTTGTTTTTTTGTTTGTTTTTTAGAGAGCGCGCATGCTTGGTTTTTAGAGTGTGTTTTTTTAAAACATTTTTTTTTTTTAAAGAGGGAACCATTGTTGGAGAGAGTAGAGGCTGTGTTTCAAGAGAGAATGAGTAGAGACTGGTTTTCTAGAGAGAGAGATAATGCGGTTTTCTTAGGCTGTTTCTGGAGTGAGTGCGGAGGCTAAGGTTTGTGGAGAGAGTTTTTTTAATATAATGCCGGTAATTTCCTCTCTGCAGGGGTTTGTCAGGCTCTGAGCTCCGCCATGAATGATAAATGTGTAGCCCAGAGCTCCTCTGATGTACATAGCCGAACAGCCGGGATTCTGAGTGATGTCTGCCACCAGCTTTCTCTTATACTTCATAGTGAGTAGGACCATGCCCCCATCCAGTGCTCCAATCCCCGATTCGCCCTCTGCTTCCCTTTGATTCTTGCTGAGCATTGCATCTTGTTGGCCATGATTTGCAGGTGCTCAAAGCAATGCAGATCTTTTCTGTATGTGAGGTGATAATCAATTACCATGTGAGGCGCAATTGCCCTTCCTAAAGCTGATACTCAGCCTGGGCTGGGCAATAAATGGCGATGTTGATTAGTTATGGGTATGTTTGTAATCTGACTTTATATTGTGTTCTCTCTCTCTCTCTCTCTCTCTATCTCTCTCTCAGGACCAGTCGTACTGGGTTCCATGGCTGAAGACCTGGTTCTCAGTCGATGTGTAGTCTCCATACAGCTCTGCAGTCTGTGGCTGAGATCTCGCACTCAACATTGCTTATCCACAGGAGCACTTAGCAACTTAGTGCTGCTTACTCACGGAGACATGCCTGTAAGAATCACTCTGATACTGAGAGGGTTACTGTGAGGGTCACTCTGACACGGAGAGGGTTACTGTGAGGGTCACTCTGATACTGAGAGGGTTACTGTGAGGGTCACTCTGATACTGAGAGGGTTACTGTGAGGGTCACTCTGATACTGAGAGGGTTACTGTGAGGGTCACTCTGACACGGAGAGGGTTACTGTGAGGGTCACTCTGATACTGAGAGGGTTACTGTGAGGGTCACTCTGACACTGAGAGGGTTACTGTGAGGGTCACTCTGATACTGAGAGGGTTACTGTGAGGGTCACTCTGACACTCAGAGGGTTACTGTAAGAATCACTCTGACACTGAGAGGGTTACTGTGAGGGTCACTGACACTGAGAGGGTTACTGTGAGGGTCACTCTGACACTGAGAGGGTTACTGTGAGGGTCACTCTGACACTGAGAGGGTTACTGTGCGGGTCACTCTGACACTGAGAGGGTTAGTGTGAGGGTCACTCTGATACTGAGAGGGTTACTGTGAGGGTCACTCTGACACGGAGAGGGTTACTGTGAGGGTCACTCTGACACGGAGAGGGTTACTGTGAGGGTCACTCTGACACTGAGAGGGTTACTGTGAGGGTCACTCTGACACTGAGAGGGTTACTGTGCGGGTCACTCTGACACTGAGAGGGTTAGTGTGAGGGTCACTCTGATACTGAGAGGGTCACTGTGAGGGTCACTCTGACACGGAGAGGGTTACTGTGAGGGTCACTCTGACACGGAGAGGGTTACTGTGAGGGTCACTCTGACACGGAGAGGGTTACTGTGAGGGTCACTCTGATACTGAGAGGGTTATTCAACTACCAACGTTTGTGAAGTCTAATGAACATCTACCAAGCCCAATAGGAATCTGTGGCTATGATGAAGTGGGACTAACCCATCTTCCAGCTCAATGCTCCATGTAATAAGGAAACAGTTAATCTCTCCTGATCTAATAAAATGTATTAATGCGGGTGTCCAATTGTGGAGAGAAGCCATATTAGCTGTGTCCTGTGCCACTGTCTGCCCTTCCTTCCTCTAGTCATAGACCTGGAAAGGTCCTACTATGCCAATTAGATACTTGCTGATAATGGCGCCACAGAATCCCAGGTAATAGAGCCTGTCTCCACACGTCTATTACTTCTGTTTAAATCTCTCACTCCCTTTTTCTCTGTAGGCCTTGCAGAAAGAGTCCCTGAGACTTAACATTCCAGTTACTGAAACCGAAAGCAAGAAATGGCTCCAAAGCCACAAACTTCGTCTACAGATCCATGCAGCAAGAACAAACATGGAGGTCAGTAATGGCAATATCCCAAGATAGAATGACGAGGGATTAGTCTAATGAGAGCGGGACATACCTTCACCTAACGGTAAATAATACTTATACCCCAGGGTAACAACCCAGTTTAATATGGGGGTTAATACAATGCTGGGAGGATGGCTTGTTATGCTGCAGTATATAGCGGTTGATGCAATGCTGGGAGGATGGCTAATTACCCTGGGGTATATGGGGGTTAATACAATGCTGGGAGGATGGCTTGTTACCCCTGCGTATATAGGGGTTAATGATTGGAGGATGGCTAGTTACCCCGGGGTATATAGGGGTTAATACAATGCTGGGAGGATGGCTAGTTAACCTGCGGTATATAGCGGTTGATGCAATGGTGGGAGGATGGCTAGTTACCCTGGAATATATAGGGGTTAATACAATGCTGAGTGGATGGCTAGTTACCCCACCGGTGTATATGGGGGTTAATACAATGATGAGAGGATCGCTTGCTACCCCTGCGTATATATAGGGGTTAATAAAATGCTTGGAGGATGGCTTGTTACCCCAGGGTATATGGGGGGGGGGGCTTAATACAATGCTGGGAGGATGGCTTGTTACCCCAGGGTATATGGGAGTTAATGCAATGCTGGGAGGATGGCTTGTTACCTTGGGGATATATGGGGGGGTTAATACAATGCTGGATGGATGGCTTGTTACCCCGGGCTATATAGGGGTTAATACAATGCTGGGGTATATATGGGTTAATACAGTAATGGGAGGTGCTACCCCGGGGTATGTGAGGAAAAATGCAATGCTGGGAGAATGACTAGCTACCCCGGGGTATATAGGGGTTAATACAATGCTTGGAGGATGGCTTGTCACTCTGGGGTATATGGGGGTTAATACAATGCTGGGAGGGAGGAGTGCTACCCCTGGGTATATGGGGGTTAATACAATGATGGGAGGATGGCTTGTTACCCCTTGATATATAGGGGTTAATACAATGCTGGGAGGGTGGAGTGTTCCTCTGAGGTATTTTGGGGTTAATACAATGCTGGGAGGGTGGAGTGTTACCTCAGGGTATTTTGGGGTTAATACAATGCTGGGAGGATGGATTGTTACCCCATAATATATTGGTGTTAATACAATGCTGGGTGGATGGGGTATATCGGGGTTAATACAATAATGGGAGGATAGCTAGTTACCCTGTGGTAAAGGGTAGTTTGTCACAGTTTGCGCTTGTGAGCAGCAGTCTTTAAGTCTGACCACAGATATTGGCTTGAGGTCTGGGCTTTGAGTAGGCCATTCCAACACATTTACATGTTTCCCCTTAAACCACTCAAGCGTTGCTTTTCATTGTCCTGCTGGAAGGTAAACCTCCATCCTAGCGTCAAATCACGCACAGAGTGGTACAGATATTGCTCAAAAATATCCCTGTATTTAGAACCATCCATCTTTCCCTCAACTCTGACCAATTTCCCAGTCCCGGCTGCTGAAAAACATTCCCACAGCATGATGCTGCCACCATGTTTCACTGTAGGGATCGTGTTCTTTGGGTGATGTGATGTGTTGGGTTTGCGCCAGACATAGCGTTTTTTTATTTGATGGCCGAAAAGTTCAGTTTTGGTCTCATCAGACAAGAGCACCTTCCTCCATAGATTTTGGGAGTCTCCCACATGCCTTTTCGCAAACACAAAACGTGCCATTTTGTTTTTTGATGAAAGTAATGGCTTTCTTCTGGCCACTCTGCCATAAAGCCCAACTCTATGGCTTATTGTCGTCCTATGTACAGATACTCCAGTGTCTGCTGTGGAGCTCTGCTGCTCCTCCAGAGTTACTTTAGGTCTCTGTGCTGCCTCTCTGATTAATTCCCTCCTTGTCCGGTCCGTGAGTTTTGGTGGGCGGCCGTCTCTTGGCAGGTTTGCTTTTGTGCCATGTTCTTTCCATTTGGTTATGATAGATTTGATGGTGCATGCTCCTCGGGATCATCAAAGATTTGGATATTTTTTTATAACCTAACCCTGACTTGTACTTCTCAGCAACATTGTCCCTTACTTGTTTGGAGAGTTCCTTGGTCTTCATGGCAGTGTTTGGTTAGTGGTGCCTCTTGCTTAGGAGTTGCAGCCTCTGGGGCCTTTCAAAAAAGGTGTGTGTATATGTAATAACAGATCATGTGACACTCAGATTGCACACAGGTGGACATCGTTTCACTTTTTTTTTTTTTTTTTTTAATTCTTTATTTTTGGTTTGACAAAGTAGATGGTAATCATGAAAGCAGTTACATTTATGTACATGACAGCGCAGTGTCATACATTAGCATATAGAATGCAAGTGACAGTTGTCAGTTTAG